TAGGTATGTTGGGCCATCTGGAGGCCAGAGGTAGAGAAGGGGCTTACTGGGGTCACCGAGGGGAGAGAGGCAATTAAGGCTGGAAACACTTAGATTGGAGAGTGCGGCACAGTCAGTCAGACCTGGAGGTTCAACATCAGGCTCCGGCGTTCTAAACTGTAGGACCTTGAGCAGGGTGCTGCTTCTCAGGGCTGAGAAAATGGGCTCCTGGCACCCTGGGGGTGACTGTGGGGGGGATCAAAGCACTTGTGAGGAGATGGGTGGAGGAGCCCTGACCCTCCCCCATTCCCCCTTCAGATGTGTGGTCAGCTGGCTGCGTGCTGGCTGAGCTCCTCCTGGGCCAGCCCATCTTCCCCGGGGACAGTGGGGTAGACCAGCTGGTGGAGATCATCAAGGTGAGGGCATGGCACAGTATGGGTGGGGGGGGGGGGTGGCTAAGGGAGAGGGGCTTTGGTTCAGACCCCTCCTTTTCTCTGCAGGTGCTGGGAACACCAACCCGGGAACAGATCCGAGAGATGAACCCCAACTACACGGAGTTCAAGTTTCCCCAGATTAAAGCTCACCCCTGGACAAAGGTGGGGAAGGGCTAGGGGCTCAGGCAGCATGGCTGAGGTCCCCTTTGGAGGCCAGCTGGCCTGGGGACCTGGCTATAGAGTCAGGGCTTGGGAGTGGGTTAGTAACTCATCCCATTTCCAATTTTATGGCATCTCCCATACTCGAGAAGGTGAGGATTGACGGTAAGTTTGACAGTGCCATTTTTCCGGTGGGGAAACAGGCTCCTAGCAGGGCCCGTCCAGTGATGGGACCTGGGGGAACTGCTCACCCGAAAGAAGGTGACTGCCCCTCAGTGGTGGTGCCTCAGTTAGAAAGTGGGTGTGCGGGACCCAGTCACGTTTGCTGCAGGCCCTGTAGCAGCACGATGCTGGCTAACCCAGTGCTGGGGCATTTCACCCTGGTGACTTCTGTCCCCTCCCCCTAAGGTGTTCAAATCTCGAACGCCACCGGAGGCCATCGCGCTCTGCTCTAGCCTGCTGGAGTACACGCCGTCCTCAAGGCTGTCCCCTCTGGAAGCCTGCGCCCACAGCTTCTTTGATGAACTGCGATGTCACGGAACCCAGCTTCCCAACAACCGCCCGCTTCCCCCCCTCTTCAATTTCAGTCCTGGCGGTGAGGGCACAGCCTGGGATCTGGGGAACCGGAGGGGCAGGCAGAGAATGTGGAGGAGTGCTTGGTGTTACAGACAGGAGTGGGGCGCTGAGGGTGGGCTACAGGAAGGGCCTGGGGGCTCAGGAGATGCCTCCAAGACAGGAGACTTGACCCTGCTTAACCCATGCCTGTGATCACCTGTGCGAGGCTCCCTCTGGTTTTTCACTTAAAGCATTCAGTGGCTACACCCTTGCCAAGAGCTGGGTCCCTACCTGGTGCCCCCTCCTAACCCTGACCCTGTCTCCCAGTGCCCTGCCTCCTGACTGGGCATGTCCATTCCTGTCCCTAGAACTCTCCATCCAACCATCTCTCAACGCCATTCTCATCCCTCCTCACTTGAGGTCCCCAGCGGGCACTGCCACCCTCACTCCATCCTCACAAGGTAAGTCAGGGGCCATCTGTGGCAGACGAAAGCCTTTCTCAGCCTGGGAGGCGGGCCTGTTCCCACAGCCCCAGAGTTTCCTGCACATGTGTGGAAACTGTTGACACTTTGATCGTATACGCCTTGATGGTCACCTTTGTAGGCTATTATCATCTATATCTGTGTTTAAGTGCTAACTGGAAAGCCAAAGGCAAACGTTTGGCATGCACACACAAACAAAAAGTTAAATTTGTTGTCCACGTTTAAAAATTGAGGCCACTGCATGTACAAATTCAGATTTCCTGTCTCTCTTGGGGAAGAAAATCCGACTGGGCAGTGCGGGACTGCCTTTCCTCGGGGCGGTGCTGTCAGCGGGGCCAAGTTCCAGCTGCCCTCTTTTATGTGGGGCCTGGCTCTCTAGAGTCCGTCCATGACCAACCTGGCCCTTTGGCATTTGAGCATACAACCCTGGACCCAAAGTGGCAGCTGTCTGTTTCCGATGTAGCATCCCCCACCGAGTTCCTGCTCTTGGAGGGATGGAGGTCTGCAAGGCAAAGCGTAACTGTCTGCTTCTTCCTCCCCCTCAGCTTTAAGTGAGGCTCAGACCGGCTCGGAATGGCAGTCGACCGACGCCACAGCTCCCCTCACTAACTCTTCCTGAGGGCCCCACCAACTACCCTTCCATCTGGGAGCCTCCAGTGGGGCTGGGAAGGGGGACCATAGCCCATCAAGCTCCTGACCTGGCTGGGCCCCTAGACTAGAGGGCAGAGGTAAATGAGTCCCTGTCCCTACCTCCAGTCCCTCCCTCACCAGCCTCACCCTATGGTGGGCTTTTTAAGAGGATTTTAACTGGTTGTGGGGAGGGAAGAGAAGGAAGGACAGGGGGTTGGAGGCATGAGGACCTCCTGCCCCCTCGGCCCCCTCCCCTCCTCCCAGGCCTACACTCCTCCAACCCCCTTCCCCTCCTGTGTCCCTTGTAAATAGAACCAGACCATCCCGTCTACTCCTCCCTTCCCTGCTCCTTCCCCCTCGGGTGTAAATAGATTGTTATAATTTTTTTCTTAAAGAAAACGTCGATTCACACCGTCCAACCTGGCCCGTCCCCCTTCTACAGCTGTCCCCCCTCCTGTCCTCTGCCCCTAAGGTCTCCTCCCTCCTCTCCCAACCCTGGAGGGCTGGGGGTGGGTGGGTGGGGGAGCTCCTGATGTCTTAGTTTCCACAGTAAGGTTTGCCTGTGTACAGACCTCCGTTCAATAAATTATTGGCATGAAAACCTGCTTCCTGTCTGGCTGCTTTGTTTCCACAGAGGTGAGGGTGATGCCTGAGGGGCTGTTCTGGGAGAGGACCTCTCAGGCAGGGGAACAAGGCTGAGTGAACCCACCATGCTGGGCTGTTGGAGGCTTGAGTCCCGGCCCTGCCTCACAGGCCCAGCTTTCCTGTGCCTTAGCTCCCCTCTGCACATGTGACAAACTGAGTCTGCCTTATCCACTGCAGAGGCCTGGTGGGAGCCTGCCTCATGGGCCCAGCACTGATCTGGAGGGAAGCAGGCACTGTCATCCCCAGGCGACAGTTGAGAGAATGGGATCAGAGGTCAAGGCCACAGAACGGAAGTGGTGGAGTCGAGACTTTGAACAAATGGCTTTATGTCTCATAGCCTAAGCTATATGCTGTTTCACAGGGACACTGAATGATGAGGGGTCACTCAGGCCAAAACAGCCTAGATGTAGACCCTTAGTGGGCACAGACGGGCAGAGTAGCTGTCCTCAAGCCCTAACAGATCTCCAAGCTTTCTTTTCTGTTTTAAAGAGGGCACATAGCCAGCCCATACCTAGGGATGCTGGGAAGCGACAAGCCTGGGAAGGTTGGCACAGAGAACTTGGTTTCTTTCCCTCCTCCCCTTCCATGAAAACATGGTGGGGCCACGGGCAGAGGGAAATGGCCACTCCTCCATGTGGTGCCAATGATATGTGAGGGCAGGAGGCCTCAAAAGTGGAAGGAGGAGCAACTGATACGTCCTCCACTGGACTGCACTTGTGAAGAAAAAAGGAAGTTTTTTTTCTTGGTTACTGTGTAATCTCTACGCCCACCGGGGAGCTTGAACTTACGACCCTGAGATCAAGAGTTGCGTGCTCTACCGACTGAGCCCCAAAAGGGAAGGGGTTTTGAACATGTCCCAAAGAGTTCAGGGACTGTTCCTGTGGCATCTGAACTCTCCAGTTTGTTTGGGCCAGCCCCACGGGCACCTGTAAACTATTCAGAACAATCCTTGGCCTTTCCTGCTCAAGACCCTCTGGATATCACCTTGTTTGTAAGATAAATGCATCTAGCAAGGAGACCACAGCAGGACAGAAGGGCTGGTCTGGGCAAGGGGCACTCCTGGGGCCCCCCTACCTCCCTACTGCTCACATCTGTTCAGCTGTGAGGTCAGTGAGGATGTGCCTCACCCTCCTTCCACTCCCATGGCCTCGGCCCTGGTCTGGCCCCATCCTTTCCCCTTAGACCATCTTCAGCCAACCCCCTGCCCCACCCTGATGCCGGGGAGCCCTAAGGCCCACTTTTGACCATCCCCGCTACCCCAACTTAGTCTGACTTTCACAGCCTTCCCAGGTCCAGGCCTCCCCACCTGAGCACTTTGGTCTGTAGAGGCCTGGTGGGAGCCTGCCCCAGGAACCAGCCATAAATCATCTGTTCCTGTTTAGGGAGGGAAGGATTGCTACTCTAGGTAGACTTCAAAAAGGTTGGGAATCCTTTCTTGTTCCTAAGGCCTCTGATCTTTCAAGGCCTCACCAAACCCCAACTGCTCGGTGACACTGGCTCACCTCTCCTCCAGATGTAGCAAATCCCCTGAACATCCCTACCCCTGCACCGGTTTCAAACGTCGCACTCGCTCAACGGTGCTGGTTACAGATGTGGGCTGAAAGCACCACCTGGATTCAAATCTCAGCGACACTGCTGCCTAGTGTGAGACCTCGGGTGAGTGCCTGTACCTGTTTTCTCATCTGTACAGCAGGGCTAATGCTGAGATCACCACACGGGCCCGCCGGGTCACAATTCATGTGCAGTGCGAGCTGTGGTGCCTGCCACGGCTAGGCGGTCATGTGTGCTGTCATTGTGGCTGTAACTGGACGGTCTCCAAGTACACCAAGAACTCACCCTCTCTGCAGTGTCGTCTGCCTGTTACGTTCTCTTTCTCTTTCACTGGCGGATTCCTAAGTTTTCCACAAGGACTACCTCCTCCAAGGGGTTTGTTCCCTGCTCTGGGATCCCACCGTCCCTGTGCATCCCCAGCACAGTCCTGAGGATCCCGGGACTGAGATCTGCCTGCTCCCCAGGGGCAGGGCAGGAGCCTGACTCCTCTCTGGCCCCCGGCATGGCCCGGCACGTGGGAGGGAGGCCCGTGGACTCCCAGGCTGAATGAATCAATAACACACACTCAGAGAGCAAGGCCATCTGTACTTGTGTGAACTCCACTGCCACTGAGCGTCTCCTGGGGTACAGCCTGGGTCTGGGTCTGAGTCATTCCCGGGGTTCCAGCATCACCCAGCCTGCAGCTGAGTATGTGGGTACCTAGAGATTTCCTTCCATATTGTCAAAAGTGAGCTTAAGGAAGCCCAGAGAAGTCAAGTACCTCTCTCTCCACCAGGCAGAGCCAAGTCCTGTATGCCCAGGGTCCAGGGAAGGTGACAGTCTTGGGGACAAGCGAGAACCCGCAGAGGTATGCAACAGTGCCCAGCACAGGTCTGGCACGTGGTCGGGGCTCAGGAAAGGTTACCTGACGTTGCTGGGCACCAGGGTGACAGGTGCGGAGCAAAGAGCCCCGGCAAACGCTACTCTGCAACGCACCGGGGGGACCCGGGACAGATCACGTCCCATCTCAGGGCTTCAGTTTACCCTGAGGCGGAGAAAAGTGACAAGACACACCCGGCAGGGCCGTTGTGAGGAGTCAGTGGGTAAGAGGCCAGGATGGATCCTGGCACCCAATCAGGTGCCAGAGTGGCTTGCCAGGGGGTGGTCCCCTCTCTCCCGGAGGTGCCCACGATTGTTGTTGCAACCAAACTCTTTTATTGCTGCTCTTCGGCTGCGTCACACGAAGGCCGCGTCCAACTGCAGCAGCCCGCTCGCCTCCCCGGCCCCCAGGGCGGCCTGGCACAGCTGCAGCGTGTCCTCAAGTGCCAGAGGCTGGGACGTCTCGATGATGGCAATGGTCTCCCCCAGCTCCGTACACATGATAGTCTGCTGAGGCTCAGGGGGCGGGGGCGGGGCAGGAGGTGGCGATCGGGGCGGCTGCAGGGTCAGGGTCCGGGCTCGGGCGTGGACACGCTGGTGGAGTCGCAGGCCTGCCAGGGCGTGGAACCAGCGGCCGCAGGTCCCGCAGTAGTAGGGGCTCTTGTTGTACAGACCGGTGATAGGGAGGCGGGGTGCACGGGCGAAGGCCACGGGCCGCAGGTGCAGCCTCCGGTGCTGCTGCAGGTTGGAGCTCTGCGTGAAGCGCTTGCCACAGTCCAGGCACTGGTAGGGACGCGCACCTGTGTGGGTCAGCTGGTGGCGGCTGAGGTTGGCCAGAGAAGCAAAGGTCTTGCCACACGAGTGGCACTGGAAGGGCCGCTCGCCCGTGTGTGTCCGCAGGTGGTTGCGCACGTGAACCAGCTTCTTGAAGCCCTTGCCGCATACTCCGCAGCGGTGACGCCGCTCGGGGGGCCCGTGGACGGCGCGCCGGTGCCGGGAGAGCCGGGAAGCCGAGGCGAAGGACTTGGAGCACTGTGGGCAGGGCAGCTGGGCGGGCGGGGCGGGGGGCGGCGGTGGTGGCGGCGGCGGTGAGGGCTCGGCCGGAGCCGGGGAGGCGGCTGCCAGGGCGGGGGGCGCCCCGCTCTTGCCCGCGTGGGTGCGCCGGTGGTAGAGAAACTTGGTCATGTTGCTGAACGTCTTGCCGCAGCGGCAGCGATGTAAGGGGTTGGCGGTGTGTGCCCGCCGGTGAGCCACCAACGTGAGCTCCGTGCCAAAGCCGCGGCCGCAGTCCACACAGAGGTAGCGGGCTTCGCCACGGTGCAGCCGCAGGTGCTGCTCGAGCGACGCCGCTTTCTTGAAGACCTTGGAGCAGGTCGTACACTCGTGCGTGCCGCCGATGTGCGCCCGCCCATGAGCCAGCAGCCGGTTCGCCGAGCTAAAGCTGCGCTGGCACTGGTCGCAGTGGAAGGGGTGGGCTGTCGATGCCGGGCCGCGGGATGCCCGCCGGTGTCGCCGGCGTGCCTCGGCTGACGTCCAGCGGGGGGGGACAGTCCCCACAGCCCCGGGCCCGGCCGGCTGTGGCCCTGTCGCCTCCCATGGCGTCATCACCAACCTCTGCCACCACCTCCTCCTCCTCCTCCGTCTCTTCATCGTCTTCCTCCTCCTCCTCTTCTTCCTCCTCCTCGAGCCCATTGCGCTCTTCTTTCTCGAGGGAGTCAAAGTGGGTGCCCTGATGCTCCAAGAACTCCTCGGGAGTGGCACAGAGAGTGGAACACTCGGGACACTCGTAGGGCTCCATCTTCACTTCGGGTGGAGCAGGGAGGGGAGGTGCCGGTGCCGGGGGAGGCAGAGGGGGCAGCACCGGTGGTTCGGCCGCTGTAGCAGAAAGGTGCCTGGCCTTGCGATGAGCCACCCACAGCTCAGGAGAGGGGAAGAGCTCCTGGCAGTCCCCACACTGGTACTGGATCTGGCTCGCAGACTCCCGGAGGTGGGCGTCCTGGTGGGCCAGGAGCTCACCAGGGGACAGGATGAGCTGGCTGCACTCCCCACACTGGAAAGGCCCATCCTCGGTGCCCGCCATGAGCTCTGGCTCCAGGCCAGCATCCTGGGTGACCAGCGCCTCCTCCTCTGTGACAGCAGGCACATGCCGCTCCTGGTGAGAGAGAACTTCCTCCAGCGTGTTGTAGAGGCTGCCGCACTCAGAGCACATGAACTGGTGGTGCTGGAAGAAAAGGGAGGAGGCGAGGGCCTCCCCAGGTGTCATCTCGGTCACCTCTGCTGACATCTCCGTCACCTCTCCTAACATCGGTGTTGACGTCTCCATCGCCCCTGGTGACATCTGTGTTGGCATCTCGGCCGCCTCAGCCACCTCAGCCGCCACCTCTGCCATGGTGGGGAGGGAGAGTAGTGCCTGGAGAAAAAAGGGGAAGCTGGTGAAACATCGAGAACCTGAGAGAAGCAGGGATGTCTCAAGAGCTTCCTTGCCCATCCTGTCGCTCACCGGCCTCTGTCAATCGGCAAGCCTGCATCCAGTGCTCACGCCTCAGTCTTCAATGAACCTGTGGTTCTGTAGCCGACCCCTGCCCCCAGGGTGCCGGGCATCTGTGAGAGAGACAGCCTCTTTCAGTCTGGCCTCAGACGTCACCCTCCCTCCTTACCCGCAGGGCCAGTTGCACCCTTTCTAAGGACACCTCTCTTTATGCCTCTCATCGTCTGCCTGTAGTTTCCTCACTGTTCAGCCCCGTTCCTCCTACTGTATGTACACACAGACATGCAGCAGTGTTTGAGAGCGCAGGCTTCTGGACCGGACCGCCCTTGGCTTGAATCTGCGTTCCACCACTTACTTCCTCCGAGACTGTTTCGTCACCTGTGAAACGGGGTAAAAGTAGTACTGACCACAAACACCCTGGTACTTGAGAAAGGTTAGACAGAACCATGACTTGGAGTTCTCCAGAGATGCTGTTTTTGAGTCCTAAGTCTTTGCGGTTGCCATTCCTTCTGCCAAGAGAGTTCTCTCCTCTTCTTGTCCAGCAAACTCCTGCCCAGAATTTCCTTTGTGAAGCCTTTTCTGACAACATCTCTACATTCTCAGGGTGATGTCCATCCACTCCTTCCTCCTTTGGGTTCCTATGGTAACCTGTGCCACCTCTATCATAGCAACTATCATGAGTCTGGGTTGCGGTCTGTGCTCCTCTCCAGACTGAGCATGCAGGCAGGGCAGGTCTGATTCACTGTAGGGGCTGATGTCACCAACAAAACCACGGACCCAGGCCAGGGATTTTTAACTTCTGAACTTCCGCCTATGTGCCCTGTCTCCCCTTCTACATGCGTGGGCTCAACCCAGACCTCTTTACACAGCAGGGGCTCAGAGGCACTTTAGTAAATGACTGTCCTTCCACCCCCTGCTAATTTTCTGAATCCAATCTCCACTGTCTCAGTCTTTAACTCATCTGTTAGTGCCAGAGGGCTGGTGGAACTCAGCTTACACCCAGGCATGCAAAGTTGCTCATATTAAGCTCCCGGAGGGATGTTAGTCTCTTCATCACTGATGTGGTTCCAGCACCAAGAACAATGATTAGCCCACATCAGGTACTCAGTAGATATTCTGTGAATGAATAATGCTCCCTCCAGGAAGTGAGGCCATGAGAGCTTAACTCTCCCTGTGCCCATTCCACTTCTTCCACCAGGCCAACTTTCCTATTAGACCGTGAATTTCCACAACAACACAGCCTAGCACATGACTCTGTTTTCAGCCGATATCCAATAAATGTTCCTCGAATAAATGATTCACTAAAGGCCCAGGAGTTACTTTTTCTTAACTACAAATCCCAACTCCCTCACTAATATACGAGTCGCCTGGGCCCTGCACACAACGGCCACCCAATAAGGTATCTTCCTGAAAGTAGTCAACCCGGAGCCCAAGAGTTCAGTTCTTCCATGTTTACAGCCCCACACTCCAGAGAACTCCCATGGGGCGAGGCCCAAGGCCTGGGGTAAGGCTTACACAAAGTAGGCACCCAGTAAATGTTCTTCCAGAAGGCTGCCTCGAGTAATCTAAAATTCGGACTTTTCGCCCACATTCCTCCCTTCCCAATTATGGGACTGTGTACTATCGGTAGGGAGAGACAGGGGCTTTTTATACCACAGATCAGTAAGTCCTTCCAGGAAAGAACCCACCAGGGGCCTGGAAGTTCAACTTTTCCGCTACACATCCCATTTCACCGACCGCACTTCTCAACTCCGTAGCACGAGAGTACCCTGTAAGGGCTGGGGGCGGCGGGCTCAAGGGTAGGGTCCTGCACGCCGCAGAAGCTTAATCAATGCTCTAGGGCACATAGGAAGGAGCGCTCTCCTTCCACTCCGCGCCGCTCCCGCCCTAGCGCAGGCCCCAAGGCTCTTCGTCCCTCAGTGTCCCCTTCGTTCTCCCTCCGCCCCCTCCGTACGCCCAGTGCTCTCTTCCCCCGCCCGCCCCGCGGCGCCCTCACCCGTCTCTCTCGCCTCCTGCAGCCCCCGCCGCTCTTGACACAGACCCTCTCTGCTCCAGGCGTGCGGGACCCCTCACTATCCACACCTACCATTGGGCGGTGCCCTTACCCGTGGCAGCCAATCAGAGCTGGCAGCAGAGGGCACGCGCCCCCGCGCCTGCGTGTTGACGCTCAGGCGGGGTTCGGCGAGTTTCTCCACGCACACAACTGTGCACTGTGGGCGGAGTCGGGCCTCAGACAAGCGCCTGCGCAGTTCTCCTGGGCTGCTCTGCCAAGAATCAGAAAGTTAAGCGGTGAGAAGAGGGCATCATTGGAAAAGAGGGCCCAGGGAGTGGAATGGGTGGCGGGAGACCTTGACAGAGGTGTTGTTTCATGGCTGAAGAGGCTGAGCATCTCCGAGAGCACAGCTTTGGAGGCAGACACAGCTTTGGAGGGTACTTCCCCTCTCTGGACCTCACTTTTAGTAGTGTGTAAAATGGGCTTGACTCACCTCAAAGGCTGTTGAGGGGATTGGATGAAATCAAACACGTAAAAGCTCTCAGGACAGGGCCTGATACACCGTGGGTGCTCCCTATAACCCATGTAATATGGACATAGTCCTTCCCAGTTTGTAAAACTGCTTTCCCTTCCCTCCCACTCTTGGGTTGATTTAAGGATATTCACCGGGCTTCAGTAGGTGACAATTGCCATCGGAGGGAGGGACTCTTTCGAGGTCACTGCTGCAGCCCAAGTAGAGCCAGTGCTGAGCCAGTGCCAATCAGGACCCAGGTCTCCTGCCTTCTAAGGAGAGATAATCCCAGGGATGGGAACCACTCTGGGTAGGGGACTTGTTTCAAGGCACGTGCGGGCCTTGGCCTTGACTCACCAAGGTGTGTGTGTGTGTGGGGGGGGGGGTGTTGGAGGGGTGGCCACCGCGCCCAAGGCCCTGCCCCGGGGAGCTGCTCAGACACACTGCCTGGACTCCAGTTCTCTTGATAGAGAGAGTGCAACTTGTAGGTGCAGGTTAGAAGAGGGGGTATTGGAAGGCCCTGTGACCTTGGAGGGCAGAGTTTGGAAAGGGTTTCAGAGGGAGGGGTGTTTGAGACGGGGACAGGGTGTCTGACTGTAATGGGGGACTGTGATGGATGACATCAGGAGGTGCACGGTCAGGATGGAGGGGTCTATTGCAATCGGGAAGGAGGTATTGGTTCCTAACATGAGATGCGGGAGCTTCCTGGTCTTGATCAGGGGAAGAACTTAGCTATGGGGGTTTGTGTTGGATGAAGGGAGATTTCAGTCGGGGGCATGAGATGGCACAGTTGTGATGTAGGTTCCTGGTTGCCATTAGGAATACGGGGCAGTGGGGGCGCCTGGGTGGCGCAGTCGGTTAAGCGTCCGACTTCAGCCAGGTCACGATCTCGCGGTCCGTGAGTTCGAGCCCCGCGTCGGGCTCTGGGCTGATGGCTCAGAGCCTGGAGCCTGTTTCCGATTCTGTGTCTTCCTCTCTCTCTGCCCCTCCCCCGTTCATGCTCTGTCTCTCTCTGTCCCAAAAATAAATAAACGTTGAAAAAAAAAATTAAAAAAAAAAAAAAAAAAGGAATAAGGGGCAGTGTAACGGGGGAGTGTCCAATTCCTGATCATAAAGGGGCCTAGGCGCTATTTGAAGCCAGGACTGTCGGGATTGTGGTCCTTTGCCATGGGCAGCTAGGAGCAGTGGTAATGTGGGCGTCTAGGTCGTGATTAGGATGGAACTGTAGTACATGAGATGGATTTGACATGGGGGGCAACGAGGACCCGACGGGTTAAGTCACGGGCTCACAGAAGAACCCAGCAACCAGGTACCAGATCCAGTTCAGAGGCGGAAATCGCTGTCGCTTTGCGCAGGCGCAGCACTGGCGAGCTAGACGCTACGGTTGGAGGCGGGCCTGGAGGGGTGGGGCTTAGAAGCTTCACTCTGCGCTTGCGCCGAAGGGGCGTGGCGGTCGCACCTGCGCGAGTTGGGGGAAGGAGGAGGGGCGAGGTGACGCAGGCGTAATAATAGAGAAGGTGCCAGAAAGATCCAAAACAAGTGGCTGCGGCCGTAGCCCAGGAGTCGTCAGACGCCGGAACCCGGTGAGGATCCAGAGAGGCCTGAGGGCGACTGGTGGCGGGTAGATGGAACCACTTGGGTGTTGGGGAGAGAGCGGTACCGCCCTTGCAGGGCGAGAGGGTCGGGTTAGGGCAGCACCACCTGTGTGGGGCGAAGGGCTGCTTTGGTAGGCTCCACTTGTGGGGGGCAGAGGGTCGCTTTCGGAAGGTATGATTTGGGTGGAGTCGCGGCGCTGATCGGACAGTACCACTGGCCGGAGCCAAGGGGCACGTCCGGACAGTGCCACCCAGAGTCAAAGGGCAGTTGGCAGGGTGCCCTGGGATGGGCCCCCGCGCTTATTCGGACCGAATCACGTAGTCGGGTCCGGAGGCTGGTTCGGGACATACCACCTGAGGAGGGGCGTTCGGGCTGGGTCTGGGAGGACGAGCGGGGTCTAGCGTCTCGACCTGTTACTAGGGGACCTCGGGCGATACCATTCCTTTCTGGGGGAAGGGGGAGGCAGAGACGGCTGGGTTGTGAAAATAGCCTTGCCCAGCGGATCGAGGTTGGGGAGACGCACTGGCGGGGGTGGGGTCCGGGTCCCCGCGTCGCTGACCATTGCCCCCTCCCCTCTGTGTGGGTTCTAGGCCCTGGTTCTGAGCTTGTGCCGCCCCCCTCCCCCGGGTATGGCGCTGTCCGGGTTGACCCCGGCCCCGAGCTGGGAGGAGGATGAATGTCTGGACTACTACGGGATGCTGTCGCTTCACCGTATGTTCGAGGTGGTGGGCGGACAGCTGACCGAGTGCGAGCTGGAGCTGTTGGCCTTCCTGCTCGACGAGGCCCCCGGCGCGGCCGGCGGTCTGGCCCGCGCCCGAAGCGGCCTGGAGCTGCTGCTGGAGCTGGAGCGCCGCGGGCAGTGCGACGAGAGCAACCTTCGGCTGCTGGGGCAACTCCTGCGCGTGCTGGCGCGCCACGACCTGCTGCCGCACCTGGCGCGCAAGCGGCGCCGTCCAGGTAAGGTTGAATGGGAGGATGACAGACTTCCGGTGGGGACAGGGCCTTTCTCTCTCTAGGACTCTATGGTTGCCAGCGATATGGACAGCACCATATCAGCTTATGTCCCAACCCGCGCCGCCCCTCCTCCCAGAGTATCAATGAGGAACACAAGAGGGAGGAGGCATGGCTTTTTGGGAGAGGTGAACTTGTGGAATTTGGCCACATCAGTGAGGTTTGTGGCCAGTGTTTATGGAGGGCTTATTTCATGCCAGGCACCACGGTAAGCCCTTCGTGTGAACTATCCCCTTATATCCTCCTAGTAATCCCATGAGGAAGTTCTGTTAGTGTTCCCACCATACAGAGAAGACCACAGGGTTAAGAGGAGTTAAGCAGTTTGCTTACATATAAGAATTGAATCCTGTGTGTTGAGCACAGAAGTTACAAGGTGTTGGGACTGACAAAGTTTGTGTTCCATGAAGCTTATATTTAGTGTGGGGGGGGGGGGGGGCCCCGCAGCCATTAAGGCAGGTGGTTTATTTTTAGGTTTGGTTATAAAAAGATTAAAACAAAGTTAACAGAATATAGAAAATAGGCAGCGGTTTATAGCGAAGGCGGCCTTTCTCAGATTGGATAACCAGTGAAGATATTCCTGAGAAAGCGACGTTTGAATGGAGGCTGTACTGCTGATGTGCATAGATCTCACAGGAGAAAATGCTAGGCAGAGGGAAAGACAAGCTTTCACCCCTTGGGTCAGGAATGAATTTGGTATCATCAGAGACCTGTGTGGCAGGAGCAGAGAGGGAGATAAGCCACTTTACACAGGGACTTGCAAATGACACATGTAGAAAGTGTGGGAGTCAGGATTCAAAGGCAGCTGGCTGGGCTCTGAGGGCTTGGCTCTGCCCTTAATCCTCTGAGGGAAGTACTCATGGAGGAGCAGTCCTAAGAAGATGAGGAATTCAAGGATTTAAAGGACAGGAGTCCTTTGTGTGTCTTGGGATTGAGTTGTTGAGCTCTTGGCTGGGTTATTAGGGGTGCAGTGGATAGTTGGGGAGGGGGATTGTGACCTTCCCCTGCCTAGAGATAACCAGGAGAAAGGCAGCACTAGAGAAGAAGTGACAGTGTTTTTGGAAAAATGTGTCTGGAGGTTAGGCTACGGAAGAGAAGATTTGGGGACCGTGCTTACTCCTTGGGGCCTCAGGGAGAGCTGGGGGCAACATTGCAGGGGCCTGACCATGACTTGGCTTACAGAATATCCCTGACAGTTGGGGCTGCTGTAGATAGGGGTGGGGTGGCCCCGGGAGGTCACGAGTCTTCTCTGTCTCTGTAGGCATCTAGCATCCACTGGGCAGGAAGCCTTTGAGAGGGAGCAGATGTCTGGGCTCCGACCTCTGGGGAACCTGGGCTCCCAGTGGAGCAGTAATCTATCTCCAGGTGGGAATTGGAGGCTGGGCCTAGGAGGGTGCCAGACGCTGTGAATACTTCTTTCCATTTTTCTCTCTGTGAAGTGTCACCGGAACGTTACAACTATGGCACCTCCAGCTCTTCCTCAAAAAGGACAGAAGGCAGCCGCCGTCGCCGTCGCCAGTCAAGCAGTACCTCAAATGCCCAGCAGGGCCAATGGGAGACAGGTGAGCCTAGGTGGGTGGGCACGATGGCAGCGTCCCTTTCTTCCTTCTGAACCCTGATGAACCCGCTCCATCCTGGCCCATTAAGGAAGGGGACCAAGGGGTCATTCTGTCTTCGCATTCTTTTGTGTGTATGTGTGTGTGTTTATTCTACAAAAGTATGTGTCCAGAAGCAATGAATGGAATTGTTTGTTGTGGTTTTATAGTTCATCCGAGTGACCTCACATGGTGGGTATTCTTCACGTGGCTGTCTTTGCTGGATACCTTTCTGAGATTTACTCGTGTCGAGGACCTTTAATTGGTTGCTTTTAATTGCCGTGCCAATTCATTTATGCAGCCTCCTCTTTCCTAGTTCCTGAATTATTCAAACATAACTTCAAACATACAGAGAAATTGAAAGATGGATGCAGTGAACACGCTCATATCTTTCA